TCTCTCTCTCTCTCTCTCTCTTCCATTCCTTTTTCCCAACCATTCCACTATTCCACAGAGGATGAATTAGCTTGGAAGGTTAGGCCGGGTCAAAGGAGCCCGCGACGAGGTCACCGCGAAGATTCACCGTTAGCACTGGCCTCGCTCGATGGGCCAGATATTTTTTTTTCTCCGGTGGAAGAGAATGACTCGATGGAAAGGCCAATTATCCATATAACCCGAAGCAACCGAGATATCTCAACGGCACAGTCGGTTTCGCTTTGCCGTGCGATAAGACCAGATTAAATATAGGATTGTCCACAGGCTGTCTCGCGGGATATTTCTAAAAAGGGACGGGTTGTGTTAACGTAAAATCTTATCAATCCCGTCCTCTCGCGTCTTTCTCTTGCGGACTCGCGGATCTCGCCCTCTTTCTACACTTTTTTCTCGGGCAAACGCAGACACCGAAAACTTTATTTATCAGGCAGCCCTTCGCTCGGGGAAATGTCATTGAGCTAATGTTAATCGTGACTATATTTTATCGCAACGGATGAAAGTTTCGTCGCGAGACGTCGTGCGGCTTGTTTGACGAATTTTTCTGTCAAGACGTGTATTTTAGCGTCTTGCTGACGCTAATAACGCGAAAAATGTTTGCTCCTTGCGTTATATTTCGCGAGCCACATGGACCTCAACGCAATGACGAAACAAGCAGCAGAACAATTTGGCTCGTAAAATATTTCTAGCAGTGGTTCTTCGAAAACTTCGAATTCTTTCGAAAATCTCTCATGAATTTTTCGCGACGATGTGCGCCGGATTCTGAAGCGTTTTCGGGATTTCTTTCACTCCGTAGAGCGCAAGGAAAATGAATCGGCGATGATCGCGAAATTAGACAAATCGCTCGATAATTGCGGGACACGACGAATTTCCCAAGGCTTTCGAACGGATAGTTCGAATATTTTTCCCCTTTATATAATAAATAATTATTTTATTATTTTCCTATTTAATAAATAGTCATTTAATTAACTTCCTATAGTCTCTCGTAGCAGGAATATCTAACGTCAAGCCTTAAGTGCACTATTTTTGTCAAACTAAAATTATATATAAAATTATGCGTTTGCTTATAAATTGTTTGTTTATAAATTGAAAATTACTTGTTTGAAGATCAAAGTATTGCGAATGATACGCTGTTGCATGAAATATAAATCTGTGGAATAATAACACAGTGAGGGCAGATCATAAATCTAGCTCTCAGAAATTCTTTTAAATGTCTGGTAAATCAGTCGCGATATCGTGCGCCGGATTCGGGGATGCACGCGGCGCGAGCGAAATGAAAATTCGGGCAGCGATTGTACGTAAAATTAGGTAAACCGTTCGATAGTTGCGGAATGTTTCGGCCGGCTGCTTGCTGCGACCTGATTGTTGACTCGCCTCCATTGCTGCGAATCAGTTTTCATATAAACGAGGATTTCCAGTCTCTTTCCACCCGACGTCAACCGTCATATTCCCAACATTTTCAATGATCCGTTCACCGACCCAGTTTCGCCGCTTTCGGTTTCGCGACGTGAAAATTATAAGGAGCCTGCACGCGTGTTAACACGGGCTTTTGGAGAATGATTTTTTTTTCTTTTCTTTTTTTTTTTTCGATCGAATCGAACAATTGTATCATTATGGCGAAGCGTGTGCGTTCGATGCAACGCGCGATGCAACGACGTTCGCAAAAATTGGCCGAATCCTCTATATTTCTCGCTCGAATATGTATTTTGATATTTCTGCTTTCGTTCACTCTGCGTTGGAAAGCATTCGACTGGCAGTCATTAAGCAACTCGATTTCGAGTTGCATTATTAATCTTTCGTTGCAGTTACATTGCAGATTCAAGTAATGCGAAATAAATAATAAACGCGGTTTCTGTTTCATAAATAATGAACGTATATGTATATATTTCGTTTTATCCGAACATTTTGCTTTTCATCGGTCGAAAGTACGTTAATAGTCTTCGACATTTTGATACGTTTCGAGGCAAACAAATATGTGTAGAATATAGCTGCGATGCAAGGAGAGAAAATGGATGGAAAAAGAGTGATATTCTTTGGTATGGACAAGCACTTAATCCATTGCACCTGGGAAGCTTTGTTAGACAATGTTGACAAATGTCGAGAAATTTTTAACGTACGCGCGCAGATCATTGAAAACGCCGCGCGAATTTTAAGAATTTTTCACGTGCGTGCTGAATATTTTTCAAACATCGGAGATTAAATGTACATGTCAGTAGACGTAACGAGAGCAATTTTTTAATATGATTTATTATTTTATTATATGAAATTCTTCTAATTTATATTCCTATATACATACAAATATATTTCTCTACTATTGTAGAGTAGAATGTTATATCAAACTGAGAATCCTGGAAATTTTTTATTGAATCATTTCAGTTAATTGCTCGAGATCGTAACTCTCTCACTCTCTTTCTGGGAAACTGTATTTCCTTTTTACAAAGTGTGAACACTAATTAACTCTCAAACACTAATCATTCTAATCAACCTTTCTTCTTAACATACAGAGAGCTCTCGATCTCTTAACGTCTAGTATAAACCGAAGCAAGTAGCAAAATTTTGGTGAAAACGAGAAAATATTAAATAGCGAAAGAAGCTAAAATAAATTTTTTTTTTTTTTTTTGCCCGCACAATGGGAAATTATTTTTGAAAGAGGATTTCGACAGAAGAAGAAAAAGGAGAATGAAGTACGATTCACGGTTTGCCCGGTGGTACAAGTAGATTTTCCCAGTGGTGGTCTGTCGTCCGGTCCACCGGGAGGATCGTCGCAATTAGAGCGCCGGTTGCTACCGATGGATGGAACGGATGGGAAACCGGGTCGGCCTCTTTCGAGGTTAGAGGACAGCAACGTTTCAGTGCCACGACCGGATAACGATGGAAGAAGGGATCCAGGTTTGCGGACAATGCCACGACGATTTCCATGGCTCGGCGCGGTTAGCTAGGGGCCCGGCTTCACCTCGTGGGCTCCACGAGGAATTCAGTCGTTCTGAATTCATTCGACAACGACGCCAGGGGATCAAAACGCGGAAAAACGAGAAGTCGGCCCGATGTGGCCGAGTACAGAAGCACGTATGGACCGTTGGAGAATCCATGACTCTGCTAATAGTCACAAGTTGGCCAACTTTCTCAGGTAATTATTCCTTTCTTGTGTTTAGTATTTTGCGTCGATATTGTTTGCTCTTGTTGTCTACTGTTTTTTGCTCGATTGTCTTGTCTGATTTATACGTGTTGGATGTGAAAGTTATTTGGTGGTGCATTTAGTAAGTTGAATACCAGAGTCATGATTAACTTACATCTAAGATTGTGGATAGCTACGTACGTATTCCAGATTAGGACAATTTTTTATTATTTCTCGATCACGATGTATAACGATAAAATCTATTTGTAATTACACTTATGCATTAGACAATTAAAAACTTAAATTATACATTTCAGAACAATTAAACTGCCAACAATTAAAAAGAAAGGAGAAGAAAGGAAATCGAGTGTCGAAGATTCGCTCAAAGACTTAGAATAGAAGAAAATTTCCGTTAAAATTAATACGTACAGCGAGTAGCAGGAACGAATCCGCTTATACAAATCGCTAGGTACGCTTGACACTACTTAACTCCCGACTGAATAATTCGTCCGCGTAACCAGCAACCGAATAATTTATCAGAGACAGAGAGGAGGATTGAAATCCACGATACGACCTAATTTACCTAACTTATTTCGATCATCCTACTCATAACAAAGAAGATAGAGCCGAAGAGTTATCACCGGTGCTAAAATTATACTACACAATTATGTACGTGCGGCAATGTTTCCCTAGTTTTCTCATTGACCTGCGGAATTTCGCTGATTTTCCGCTCGGCTGACTGCATTAACGATTAAGTAGACGACGCACGTACGTATGTAGCGTGTAACGTGCCCGTACGTCGTTTCCAAGCGTATTCCACGAGACGGCTCCTCTCAGAGGAAGCCCTTTCTAGATCGTTGCAGGAAGATTGACAGTTTGAGAGAGCGAGTGGAGGATGGCCGACGAGGAGAAGGATGATCGACGAAGAAACAAGATAAAAAAGGGTGAGACAGAAGAGGGTGAGACTCGAAAAAAGGGGATGAGAAACGAAGCTCGATCGCGTCGTCGATGAAGCGGCGAACCGACGTCGCGTTGTTCCCATTGATCGAATCTACGGGACCATGGCACACACGATTCTCTCTCTCTCTCTCTCTCTCTCTAGACCCAAAGCTTCTGTACCCGCGGGGATTTGGCACTTTGACGAGTTCGCATCGAACATAACGTGTGTCTGTCTGTCTCTTTCTTTCTCTTTGCAAAATGGTGCACACGTAGAAGCGCGCGCGGATCCGCCGCATCGGCTACGTGTAAAGGGTACAGGGTGCCTCTTAAGAGGTACATTCGGTATTTTCAAGAGGAAAGCATCTTCGGGGGAGAAATACGTGATAGGACACCCGTCGTTTCGTTGTTTCTCGGAAAATATTCCCCGATCTCGGAACGCTCGAAAATCTCGGTCCCTGGATCCTCACCACTCCTTCCATACATTGCAGTTGCGTTTTTTCAAAAGAAGATCGTGAGATTAATTCTTTCGGTGTGACAACTTGTTCTCGTCATAATAAATCATTGAAAGCAGGGAGTTAATTTCTACTAGTTAATTTCACCGAGAAAATTTTGTAAAATTAATTCTTTCCTGATCACGAGAAAGTAATTTCCTTCCGACAATTGTTGGAAATGAAAATACAATTTTCTTTATTTTCGTTTTTCGAAGAGGAGAATGTCAGTGGTCTAAAGCGCTGTTTGCAAGCAATCTGTCGTTTGCACGTTTCCAGTGCAACGTATGTTTCGGTCATGTAACTATTACGATGTTGTAACTGTACGATTTTGCTAGCCCCTCGCGTAACAGGTTGAAAATGTTAGAGATATCGAAAGAGTTGCTGTTTCGTATTCAAGATATTAAATATCTCGAGGGCATACGTACACCCATTGCTACACATTCGTTCCTTGGGCAAACATGTGCTTTTACATCGAATAAAAATTTACCTCGTAAGCTGCTTTTCAGCGAAAATGCTAGTTTATTCGAGGAACTCTTCGAACAAACATGTTGAAAGACGTGCATCGTTAATGCAATTATGTAGTGCCAACATGAAGCTTATTATGAATTTACTATATCTGCCAGAGAAATTGCACAGTTATCATTTGAAATGCATTGTCTTAGCTATTCAATGAAAGAATTGAAACTTGAAGACTATTATGTAAATTAAAGAAATTGTGCTTATTCACAGATTTTTGTTCTGTCCGTCAAATATATAATAATCTATTGTTGCACTTTTAAATTTTTCAAGAAACTAATTGTCCTCTTGTAAATATTGTAACAGTCCAAGAGAGCACTCTGTCATCATTAGAAATGTAAAAATTGAGAAAAGACACGACAAGAGGTAAAATACGACCGATTGTAAGAAGGAAAGAGAGAGAGTGAAGCACGGACGATCTTCGAATTCTGTTCTCGATTCAATTCGCAGAGGAATAGAAGAAGAAACAGTCTAGAAGTCTGTCGTAGCGAGTCGTGTGTCATCAAGTCCAACTCGCTCGATTCACGACCCTATCACCGAGCTTTTCGTAGCTACGGAAGAACACAGGCTAGAGAACCCTTTGACCGATCTTCCTTCTTCGAAAATTACGGACTACTATTTTCCCATCCGGTCGTGCAACCAGCTCCCTCTTCTTTCACCTTTGCCCATCCCTATTTTCCACTCTTTTATTATCATTCGTCTTTCGTTCGTCTCGCGACCGACCACGTTCGTTTATGGTTTTCAACGACAATGAACCACCACGTGATACCGCAAACTCGCACGTACACACACAATCGTTTGAGCGAAGAAAGCGATACAACTTGAGAAGGAATATACATTTTCTTTCGGGAAAGGATAGGATCAGTCTCAGTCTCAGTCTCAGTATCAGTATCAGTATCGAGAGAAACGAAAACGAAGAATTGGAGATTATCTTATTGATTTTAAAGAAACGACACAGTTAAAGATTTCATCAGTTTATCAACGCGCATTTCACTCGCAATGACGGTCAAGACAGAATTCAAAATAAGAACATTCATGTTAGGGGCATCCATAAGTAATGTCGTTTTTTTTCTGTTCAGATTTAATAAACACTGCCATCCAGTGACAATAGTTTAAATTAAATAAAATTTACAGTATCAAAAAAAACGACATTATTGTTAAAATATAGTGTAACGTAACATACAGTTCCTATGAAAAATATTTATATACAGAAATTGCTAATGAATATATTCTGTGATGAAACACGTATTAAGGAAATTTCCGAAAAGTTTCTGGGCGACAAGTGTTCGAGTACTTTCGTAAATTAGAATGAGCGATAATTATTTTCTGTCGGTAAAATCACAAACACAAATGAACGAGATTTTCGTAATTGATGGACAAGTGATCCTGCAAAGCGTTCTTTATAAAACGATTGTGTGATTTCTTTCGCAAGTGAGAAGCGATATGTATATGTCTTTTTTATTTCACGCTTTGGAAAGTTAGTGCCATGTCGTTTATGCCGTTTAATTATGTATCTGGTCGGCGACTTAAGAATTGAAACGTATCGGGAACGTAACTCCACGTTCATGAATATCGCATGCAGCGACTCGAGAAGCGAAACTGCCAACCAGCTTCAGGAAACGGCATTGATTATTTAAGCTTATTTTCAGCGGTGGATGAGATCAAGTTCAAGGTGCCGCCACAATATAGATCAATTCTTTGGCTCGATTCTTGCTGCTGTATGAATATTGTGAATGATGAATATCTGTATTTTACACAATATTTACTTGAAAAATTCACGAGTGAGTAGCAGTGAAATTTATCTTTCTCAATTTACAATTTACTAACTTCTAATGACCACTTAGAATTAATAATTGTAAAATATGATTGTAAAAATTTACAACAATACGACGCATACTTACGAATACTACAGAATATCTTAACTGTGAGAATATAAAGTATTCGTTACACGCAGTACGGTTCAATGAATATCAAGGGAAACGATAGATGTACAAAATTTTCTCTTAACTTAGAAATTAAAAATTAAAAATTCTCTCTCTATATATATATGTGTGTGTGTGCGCGTCATATTTATATTTCTTTCGAAGAATAATTAAGACTCCGAAAGTTCAATTAGTTGAATTTTCCGTTGAAGAGATTCCACGCCGTTCGGAATTTTCGTCGCATAAATGTTCTGTCTTCTCGAATAAATGGCATAACTCATCCTATTCGACGTGATTTGTTTGCACAAACTTGTGATAAGAGATAGCGCGGAGAAATTACAGCACGATGGTTCGAAGAAGCCCTGTAACTTCGATATCGACATCGAAACACGATCGTTCTGCCATGACATCGCAACACTGAAACAAGTTTATCGAACTGTGTATCCGGAAATGTACGTTCATGTTCAATAACGCGATCTGTACGCACAATTATTTAATAATTCAATATTTTTCAATATTTAATAATTATAGCTAAGAATTTCCTTCATCTGTTACGTGCATGATTCAATACTTGTGGCTCATAATTAATTATATAATTTGACGGAATAGAATTCAATATATGTATTAACGTGCCTATTCGATTTGAAGAATTTCACTTGTTCGAAGTGCCATCAATAATGACAATAACGATCATTAATAAAGTATTTTTTTTTTTTTTTACGTTCTTTGTGTATTTCGTTTTGTACTCTATTGTATGTGAAATCGTATGTTCCTTATCGAAAGATCTGCGATGATTAATGGTCGTACGTAATTGATACTACTGCGTATTTGATTAATGTAACCTTGATTATGGAACAAAACAATCGCGTAGAATTTTACAACTTTCATTCGATATTCTATTATTCAAACGTAAATTAATCCTACCACTGGATTATTAATTTCTGGCGACTTCCATCCGGTGAATTCAATTGAAATTATTAAAGTTCAATCGGAGCGCGAATTTCGTTTCGATCATCTCCAGGAACGACGGTAAAAAAGAAAAAAGGCCAGTCGCAGCGAATCATTCCTTCGTTCGAAGAAAAATTGTAACTCGATACCTGATTTTCACATTCATCAGTGCCGGTATTAAAAGTTATTTCCACGCGGAGGACCTGAACGTGAAAGGCAAATTGCGGCAATTTCATGGCTTTGTGCGTCACAGTGGTAGAACAGTCCAACAATATCTTCCATTCCCGATAAGCACATTTTTATCTACTTGAAATCAGAATATATCTCGTCTGCCCGCTTCTCTTTATTCAATGCTTCTCTTTTCCATTCTTTTTTTGTTTCTCCTTCTCTTTTTTATATCATTCGAAAACCTTCAGCGATGGCATACGTAGAACACCAGCCATCGATATTATGAATATCGTACGACAGTATCGCCGGTATAGAGCGTTTCCTACGATTCTTATAACTCTTTGTAGTCGGCACTCGCGTCCTTTACGTTGTTATGTCGTATCGTCAATTAACTTTTGTTGTCGATCCCGCCGGCCGGAAGGATCGGCCGGCCGCTGTTTAAACACAAAAGCAGTCGTCGCCGTTGTTGAAGACGAAGGAAAACGAATGCAAGTCGGAGGACGCGGAGGCAACGAGCGCAACGCCAATATTGGCTTTTGATATTTAGAGAGATGCAACGATATCCGTGGACGTCTCTCCAGCCAAGAATTTATTACCCGGGGACGCGAGCGTGTATCTGTTTGCTTGCGACCCCTTGGTCTCAAAGGTCTCGCGGAAACAATTGATTAATTTGATTAGCCCGAAGTGGCCACTTGTACGGTTCAATCGAACTGACATCGTCGATATTTA